TCCACGCAGAGACCCGGCCACCGACCTGTCCACACACGCCCGTGACCGGCGGGAGGCTGAACGAACTTGGCTGAATTTGCTCCGCTACGTTCATCACTGCCGTACGGTGGCCCACGAGGGTCTGAGGCTTCTCTACAGAGAAGAAACATCCGGATTTCAGACTGTCCCTGAGAGGTAACATGGCCGCGCCCTCGCCACCGCCCCTGGGGGCGGCCATCTTTGAATCTCGGCCGTACGGGGGCAAAGAAGCCGGTCCCATTTCTTGGCACCGCAACCCTTCATGAAAACGGACATATGTGCAAAAGCTCGAGCTTACACAAGACAAAAACAGCCCGGGGTCAATCCCTTTCAGCGAGCTGAGTGGAAAATTAAAATGTCAGCGACATTTACCCACGATATTTTTCTCCCGTGGGCGCACCCATCTTACAGGAAGTGGAGGTCTCCGTACAGCACAGAACTCGCTCTTGGGAAAAAGCGGACTGGCGTGTAGAGGATCCCAGGGCCGAGTTTGTCGCAGAAATCGGGTCGAAGCGACTTTTGAACAGAGAACAGGGTTTGGAGAAGCTCTGACGGTACAGGGATGGCGGCCATAGACCAGGAAACGAAAGTGGCTGGAGGGCGCGAAAGTTAATGTTTTGGGGCGAGTCATGGGGAAGAGGCCACTAAAGGCCAGTAAAAGCCAAAACAGGTCAGTACCCGATGGGAAGGGCGGAACCTGTGACGGAGGCGGAGCTTTCCCTTTAGACCCTGTGGATCCAAAGAGGAGGGCAGGCCTCTGAAGACCAGTGACCAGAAATTAGGGAAATATGACTACTTCCAGAAGAATAAAAGTTTGTGTAAAAAAGGGAAGTAATGATGTTATCCTACGTGTGTCAGTTGTGAATAGCATCAACAAAGTCATAGTAATGTAAAGAATAAATATGGATCCAGCTGAACCGGTGATATATATTGGAAGGAAAGGAAATGCGTGTGTGTGTGTGTGTGTGTGTGTGTGTGTGTGTGAGATATAGATATAGGTATGTAGATTGAGAAAGAGAAATCGCCAAACTATTTTCCAATGTACCATTTTCCATTCCCACCATCAACATAGGAGAGATCCACTTTCCCAGCATCCTCACCACCAGCATTACAGAGATTTTAAAAGGAATAAGAAAAAAAACAATCCAAATTTTTTAGTAGCCAAATAATTAATAAACGGGCCATTTTTTAAAATTGCAAATACTCAATTTTTTTAAATGCCAGCCTTACTGGTATTCACATAAATGCAAAGTAAATATGAAACAAAAACTTTCAACCCTTAAGATTGAATGATGAATAATATTAAAAATGGCGAGGCTGTGGGATAAAGGCATTCTATTATGCTAAGCCTCTCTAAGTCTTATTTTTCTCATCTGCATAGTAGATAATAGTGTCCACCACATACAGTTTTGAATGGAGATATTATCATGCTTAATATAGTTTTAAGTTCAAAAAATGCACACTACACTTAATAAATATTAGACATTATATTTAGTCTTTTTTAGGGGGACAGGATCGAGTCTAGAGTATATAAATTAGTAAAATGTTTTTGGAGTACAATCTGCAATTACTCAACTTAAACTTTTCATTCTCTTTGAGCCACCAATCAATTTTAATAATTGACTCAGTAGAAATTATCTTTGTGAGAACAAACATGACCAGGGATACATAGCGCATCCATTTTGACAATTGTAAGGAAATAAGAAATAATCTTGTGATTGTTACATAAACATTATTTCATCTTTGTATTCACATCTTTGGATAGTATCCCTCCACAGTGAGTCCGCACAAGGTGTCCAATAGCAAGCATGACACAAACAGAGGACAGAAATAGACTTGCTCATTGAGGTATGTTCTAGTTCTCTTGGAGCTCTTCTAACACATTGTCACAGAGCCCAGGCTAGCCTCCTGCAGGATGAGAGACTGTGGGAATAATGGCCCCATCCATTCCAGTGGAGACTCAGATATATGAAAAAAGACATCCAGACCATGCAGCCCCAGTAGAGACAGCCCACACCAGACAATCCAACCCTCAACCCACACAACAGAGAATTAATAAATGTCTTTAGACATTTAAGTTTTAGGGAGGTAGGTTTGTAATGCAGTCAAAGGTAACTAATAACCAATATGAACATGAATAGGTGATCTGTTGAATACATGGGATGTCTCTTCATGAATAGTAGGCAGACATAAAAAGAATTAAGAAGATTGTAAATTGGTACAGCCACTATGGAAAACAGTATGAAGGTTCCTCAAAACATTAAAAATAGAACTACCAGATGATACAGCAATTTCACTTGTGGGTATTTATCTGAAGGAAACAAAGTCACTATCTCGAAAAGATATCTGCAGCTCCATGTGCACTGCAGCATTATTTACAATAGCTAGGACATAGAAACAACCCAAGTGTCCATCAACGGATGAATGGATAAAGAAAATGTGGTTTGTATACAGACATATACACACACTGGAATATTATTCAGCCACAAAAAAAGGAAATCCTGCCATTTGTGACTCATGGATGGACCTTGAGGGCATTATGCTAAGCGAAATAAGTCAAACAGAGAAAGACAAATAGCATATGATCTCACTTATATGTGGAATCCAAAAAAACCCTGAATTCATAGACACAGAGAACAAACTGGTGGTTGCCAGGGGTACGGGGGTAGGGGTGGGCAAAATGCATGAAGGTGCTCAAAAGGTATAAACTTCCAGTTATAAGATAAATAAGTCCAAAGATAATAACCATAATAATAAAGTGTTGAACATCTTTAGTTCAACATCATTGAACATCAGGAAAATGCAAGTTAAGCTCAAGATCAGATAATACTATGTACCTAATAGAGTGGTTAAGGTAAAATATAATGATAACAACAAGTGAGGATAAAGAGCAACTGATTCTCTCATATGTTGCTAGTAGAATAGCTAAAATGAAATATACGGAAAATACTGAGTGCTGGAGAGGATGTGGAACAACTACATTTCTTACACTGCTGGGGAGAATGTAAAATAGCATAGCCACTCTGGAAGAAAGTTGGGTAGTTTCTTATAAAGCTAAACACAACTTCCCATATGTCCCAACAATCACACACTTGAGTATTTATTGTAGAGAGATGCAAATTTATGTTACACACCCCTGTATGCAGATTTCACAGCATCTTTATTTATAACAGTTGAAACCAGGTAACAATACAAATCTCTTTCAAGAGTGAATGGATCAACAAACTGGCACATCCAGTATGTATGCTACTCACTAATAAAAATAAAACAACTCTTCATGAACTCAAATAAGTCTTAAGAGCAATTTGCCGAGTGACAAAAACACCAAAAGCTTACATGCTCCCTATTAATAAAAAATTATAAATTTGTATAAACTTATTTATATAAAATGTATAAAATCCAGTTATAAAAATGATTTTTATAACATTCATGAAATGACAAAATTATACTGAGGGAAAGCAGATAAGTGGTCACCAGAGGTAGGTTTGGATAGAGGGTGTGAGCATAAACAGATAGTATGAGGGAGTCTGTATTGATTAAACAGTTTACATCCTGGTTGTGATGGTGTGACATGATTCTATAAACATAATAAAGCTTCTTAGAATTACAAACTAAAAAAAAAAAAAAAAAATTCATGTGAAACCCAAATAAGGTTAGGAGTTTAGTTAACAGTCTACTACCAACATCATTTTCCTGAATTTGATAATAAAATATGGTTACATAAAATGTTTTTACTGGGACAAGTTGGGGAAGGGATACTAAGGAAGTCTCTGGACTACATTTGCATTTTCTTATAAGTTCAAATGATTTCAAATTATACATTTTATAAAAATAACTTTGAAAGTGGTTTTGCAAAATATTTGGTTGTATTTATAAACTTAGTTAAGCAAGTGCAAATACGTGTTCATATTCAATTTCCTTTTAAAGTCGTTCAGTATGCTAAACTTACCATCAAATTTAGAGCCAGAGAAAGGCAAGAGCTAATCATACATTATGGAGGCAGTCATAGAACATTCCATAGAATGAACAACTACTGCATTGTGTAGAGTAATCCCAAGGAGTCAGTGATGAGGAAACCAGACTACTTTTGAAAACTATGGAATTGACAAGGCAACTAGAAAGGAGGTTCAAAGTATTGTCTGAAAATGCACATCAGGTAAATTATCTGATGTCTAATGAGGTTAAACTTGTAACAAGCACTCAAACATGTATCATTTTCACAGGACTTCATTCCTTCATGAGTTCTCTGATATCTGACTAAAGGTGCTCTACAGTTAGCATGTTCATCAAGTTTTAATTTCTATATGGTTTCCTCGCAAATGATGAGGCAGAACGTATCACTGAAAATCCTGCCATATATATTGTCCTCTTAAAATTTTTCTCCAGTGTGAACTCTTGACACTCACTGAGGTCTTCTTTCTGGGTAAAGGCTTTCCCATAGTCATTATATATATATATATGTATATATCATATATATCATATATATTTAATATTTCTATCAATAATGAGCTCATATGATCTATGACGATCCCTGATAATAAATTCTATCTCCCCACAGAAGGCTTTCTTAGTCTCTGCATTCATAGAATTTGTCTCAGTATACACTTTTCAGACATAGAATGAAGTTAAAAGTTTTGCTCAAGGCATCTCTACCTTGAGCATATCAGAGTTTTTCCAACATGTTTTCACTGACAGAAAATGTGAGGTAAGGATCACTAAAGGCACTGCCACATTCACTGTATTCACCAGGTTTATCTCCTGGGCAAATTCTCTAATCTCCTCAGGGCACACATCTGACAACAGGCAGTACCATAACTGAATTCCAATCTGTCCAAAACACTGATGTTTAATGAAGTCTTAGTTGCCACAGAAGGCATTTCCACAGTTACTGCATTAACAGGATTTTCGTTCTGCGTGAGTTCATTCATAAGTAATGAGCTGTGACTCTCTCTTAAAGGAATTTCCAACTTGACTGAATCTACCCATTTCTCTTGTGTGCATTTTCTTATGTTTCACAAGGTTTGACAAGTGGGAGAAGGCTTTCTCACAATGGCTGCATCCATAGGGTCTCTCTCCTGTGTGAGTTCTTTGATGTACATTGAGTACTGACTTTGTGGTGAAGGCTTTTCCACATTCATTGCACTCATAGGGTTTCTCTCCTGTGTGAATTCTCTGATGGGTAATGAGACCATATTTGTGCGAATAGGGTTTGCCACACTCAGCACATACAAAGGGCGTCTTTCCTGTGTGACATCTCTCATGTTGTATGAGGCAGATCTTCTGGCTGAAGGCTTTCCCACATTCATTGCATTCATACGGTTTCTCTCCTGTATGGGTTCGCTGATGTATAATGAGCGTGCGCTTCGTGGTGAAGCCTTTTCCACATTGATTACATATATAAGATTTCTCCCCCGTATGAGTTCGCTGATGGATAATGAGAGTGCGCTTCACAGTGAAGCCTTTTCCACATTCACTGCATATATAAGATTTTTCCCCTGTGTGAGATCGCTGATGTACAATGAGATTGCTCTTCACAGTGAAGCCTTTTCCACATTCATCGCATATATAGGGCTTCTCTCCAGTATGAGTTCGCTGATGTACCACAAGATAGCGCTTCATGGTAAAGCCTTTTCCACATTCACTGCATATATAGGGTTTCTCCCCTGTATGAGTTCGCTGATGCACAATGAGATTGCTCTTTACAGTGAAGCCTTTTCCACATTCATTGCATACGTAAGGTTTCTCTCCACTATGAGTTCGCTCATGTGCAATTAGATAGCGCTTCATTGTAAAGCCTTTTCCACACTCACTGCATATATAGGATTTGTCTCCTGAGTGGGTTTGCTGACCTACAATGAGGCTGCTCTTCACAGTAGAGCCTTTTCTGTATTCATTGGTTGTAGAAGGTTTGTCTCTTGTATGAGTTTTCTGATGTTTTGTGGACATGACATTTCTGGAGAAGGATTTCCCACATGGATCACATCCATGGGATTTCTCACCTGTGTGAATGCTCTCATTGTCACTGAGCTGAGAACTCCTAAGGCAGGTTTTCTCACCTTCAATGCATGCATGGAGTTTCTCTATTTTGTGAGTCCCCTGATGCTTCAAGACTTGGAATTTAGTGCTGATTCGTTTTGCACTTTCAGGGAATTTAATTCCAGTACACAACTTTTCATGATTACCATGTAGAAAGGATTTCTCATCTCTATTCAACTCAACAAAGTTCTTTATTTCACATCTTCTCTTCTGGTTAACTAAACTTAAACTTGATTTCAAAGCTTTTCTACATAAGTCAAACATATGACTTTGCATTAGGGCAACATGTGTTTTGCTCAGATGAACAATATTTCTAAATGCATTCTGTTCACTGCATTGTGGCATGCTCTTCAGAAATCTTTGGTTTTGAGATGTCTTGCAGATCTCATCTTGCAGATGACTGTCAACTTTCCCAATTCCTAGGAAAAAACAGAATAACAAATTCTTTCATGAGACTGGTATAGAATAAAAGTGCTTAAAAGATGATGTGGTGGGGGCTGGCTCTTTATTGTTGACCATATAATTCCACTATACAAGAAAATTACAAAGATGTAAGGTGAAATAAATAAGTATCAGATCCAAGAAGAGACAAGGAGTATATTTAAAGCTAAACACCACAAAGAACAAGAGTTCTCATGTGAGATGAACGTGTGGAAGAGCTATTTAGGTGGGTTCAGACACCCTCACAGCTGTGACACTTTCTCTAAATGACTAGAATCCAACTTCCACAGCCACTCCCCTTGCTGGTTCTCACTCACTCACCTGGACAAGTTCTAGTCTGGATTTCATCCTCTATTATCCATGGTTTATCTCCATGTTCCAACTTGGAGAGCACATCAGGTTTGGTAACTTGATACCCTATTCATGAGAAATGATAGAAGACTTAGATACAGTGACTTGGGGTATAGTTATGTCAGGATGGGAAAATATTACATTTTAGAGACAAAACAATTCTCATATGCAAAATAAAACATCTCTTTCAGGACAGAGGAGATTACACCCCTTCGTTTGTGGCCAGAGGAAGGATTGAAAATTTGACTCCTCAGAAGACCATAGTGACTGAAAACTTTCATCAAGTGAAAGAGGAAAGACCAGTGACTGGGCACCTCTAAGAGACACAGGGGAGCTGTCCTCACCCAATGACACCAGGTTGCTGTAGTTCTCCAACATCACGTCCCGGTACAGGTCCTTCTGAGCAGGGTCCAGGAGCTGCCACTCCTCCCAGGTGAAGTCCACAGCCACATCCTCCAGTGTCAGTGATTCCTGTAATAACAGTCCTGTTTAATATGATGTGAATTCCTTTTATTAATATGGAAGAAGCATGAGGGAAATTGTTTGAATTTTTACCATGTAGCCTGTATCTATATACTTTCCTCAAACACATTTTAGTAGAAGCAAAATCCTATCTTACTATCTATATATTTTAGCACCTATTTCCAAATACTAAAAACATGCAAATGACATCAGGACAAATAAAATATTCCTCCATTGCCACGAAACTTCACAGCCAACATGAGAATCAACCATGACCAGACTCCACATCCAGAACTTACAAGATAGTGGGGTTTTGTTTTTTGCTGAGGAAGATGCCCTGAGCTAACATCTGTTGTCAATCTTTCTCTTTTTGCTTGAGGAAGATTCACCCTGGGCTAACATCTGTGCCAATCCTCCTCTATTTTGTATGTGGGTCGCTGCCACAGCATGGCCGCCAATGAGTGACGTAGGTCCGCACCTGGGAACCGAACCCGGTCCACCAAAGTAGAGCATACCGAACTTAACCACCAGGCCACAGGGACAGCCCCTAAAAGATAGTATTTTTAATAAATATAAAAGAATAAAAGAAACTATACAAGATAGATCTAAAGCCAGAAAGACTATTAAAGTTGATTAGAAAGATCTGAAAAAAAAAAAAACTTCTAACAGACAAACATATAATACATACATGTATTAATGGACAGATTAATAGCATTATTAGATATGCTGTAGTGAACTGGAATATATAATTGAAGAAATTACAGGAAATGCAGCACAGAGAGAAGAAGAAAACCATAAGTAAGAGATTAATAAATATGAAGTATAGCATCAAAAGATCTAATGTATGCCTACTTATAGTTTCTGAAAGAGAAAACAGAGTAATGGAGAAGCAGTACACCAAGATCTAAAAGCTGAAAACTTTCAAGACTGATTAAATATTCCAAACCTCAGATTCAGGAATCCCAACAAATTCCAAACAGGAAGTCTATACCTAGACACATCCGACTGAAACTCCAATACACCAAATACAAAGAGAAACTATAAAAGCATCCAGAGACAAGGCAAATTACCTACCACAAACTACAAAATTCAGGAAAGAATGGAATATTAGCTTCAAAGTCCTGATTTTTGTGCCAAAAAAGGCCAGACGTGAAGGCCATTTGGTATTGAAACACATGACTCTCCTCATGGAGTCCTGGACAGCATTATCTCTTCCCAGCTACAATGTGTGACAATACTCAAGAGTACTGCCCACCAAGGAAGCTCGTCTAAACTTCAGTGTCCAGTTTTTATTGAGGCTTCATTATATATGCATGATTTACTGAATCAGTGACCACCTGACCATCTTCAGGTCCTTCCCCTTCCTGGAGGTTGGACTGATATCACATGGCTCAAAGCCTCTAATCACATGGTTGGTTTTTCTGGCATGGACAGTCCCCATCTTGAGTTATCTCATTAGGACAAATTAGCTAGGGCTCGTATGAATCACCTCATTAGCATAAACTATAAAGTGTGGGCCCAGTGGCCCAGGATGAATAACAAAGATACTCCTGTCACATGGGTAATTCCGGGGGTTTAGAGGTTACCTCTCAGGAGTCAGAGATAAAGGTCAGCCAAATTCTTTAGTATACAGTAGTATTCATGGCCCTGTGCAGTACCCTTCCCTTGAGCATGAGCTGGTGAATGGTTTCTAAAGAAAATAATAAGGTAAAAGTGACAAGATGCCACTTTTACAATTAGCCTATACATGACTTCCACCTTGCCAAAAGAATCTGTCCTTTGATGACTCTGATGAAACAAGCTGGCACGTTAGGGAGGCAGGCCATAAGGAACTAAGTAGTCTTACACGAGCACACAGGTAGAAACTGAGGATCTCATCTGATCAGCCCTTCTGGAAATGAATCTTGCCAACAACCACAGAAGTGAGCTCAGAAGTGCATCCTTCCCCATTTAAGCCTTCAGATCAGACTCCACCCTGGCTTACACATGGACTACAGCCTCATGAGAGGCTGTGAAACAAAGTACCCAGCAGTGATATGATAAGTAAATATTTGGTCTTTATCCCTGGTTCCTAGTACACAGCTCCTAAAATGCTTAGAATCTCCAAAGTGTTGTGTTTTGGTGAGGAAGACTGGCCCTGAGCTAACATCTATTGCCAATCCTCCTCTTTTTGGTTGAGGAAGATGGTGCCTGAGCTAATATCCGTGCCAATCTTCCTCTTCCTTGTATATGGGATGCTGCCACAGCATGGCTTGATGAGTGGTGTGCAGGTGTGCACCCAGGATCCAAACCTGTGAATCGTGGGCCTCTGAAGCAGAGCGCACGAACTTAACCACTACACCACTGGGCCGACTCGAAAGTTATAAGTATTTTTTGTATGCTAATGAGAGAACTGGTAGCCAGGGCCCTTAGATAGCTTTAGGATGGGGGCTGGTTGCCAGAACAAACCATATGATTAAAGGTTTGGAACTTTCAGCTCCACTCCCCCAACCTCCAGAGAGGAGAGAGGGGCTGGAGATTGAGCTCAATCACCAATGGCCAAGGATTTAATCAATCATGCCCAAGTAATGAGACCTCCATAAAAGCCCCAAAACTACAGGTTCAGCAAGCTTCCAAGTTGGTGAACACATTCAGGTACCGGAAGGGTGACATACCCCCATACCTTGCCTTATTTCTCTCTTCCATTTGACTGTTCCTGAGTTGTATCCTAACCTGTAAACGTAAGTAAAGTGCTTTCCTGAGTTCTGTGAGTGTTCTATTAAGTTATCAAACCCGAAGAAGGGACTGTGGAAGGCCCTGATTTATAGCCGGTCAGTCAGAAGTACAGGAGGCCCAGGAATTGTGACTGGCATCTGAAGTGGGGGGCATTATTGCAGGTCTGAACCCTTAAATCTGTGTAATCTGATGCTAACTCCAGGTAGTTAAGTGTCAAAGAGCTGGAGAAGTGGCGTTGGAAAAGAGACTACATATTTGGCGTCAGAAGTGTTGTGAGTAAAAACAACACAGACCACCTAAACTATGCCAACCAGTATTACTGACCCGCAGAAAGGGAGAGATAAAAAACATGTGTTGTTTGAAGTTGCTACGTTTTTGGAGTAATTTGTTAGGCACTTGTCTAGGAAAAACTCACTTCTGTTTTCCTTTACACACTCATACAGAACACTTCTGTGACCAGACTTCTGTGACCCTGGCATGGGTTTTCCACACCAAGAAATTCTGGCACTAACCAAGTGAAATTAGCGCAGACCCCACAGGTTAAGGGTTTGGTCCCACAAGACTGCCCCCCATTTCAGACAGCAATCTCAACTGGTGGGTCTTTGGGTAACTCACTGTCTGAGCTGGCTACAAATCGGAGGTTCCCACAACCTTCTCTTTGGGCTCAATTACTTGCCAGAACAGTTCACAGAACTCAGGGAAACACTTCTTATGTTTCCTGGTTTATCATATAATAAAGGATATTATAAAGGATACGGATGAACGGCCAGATGAACAGGTACATAGGGCGAGAGTCCCGAGCCCAGGGCTGGGGTACACAACCCTCCCAGCACGTAGATGTGTTCACCAATCCAGAAGATCTCCAAACCCTGTACTTTTGGGATTTTTATGGAAACTTCACCACATAGGCATGATCTAATAATTGATTATTAACTCATTATCTAGTTCCTAGCCCCTGGCCCCTCTCCAGAGGATGGGGGATGGGGCTGAAAGTTCCAAGCTTCTAATCATGGCTTGGTCTTTCTAGTGACCAGGCCCCATCCAGGAGCCATCCAGGAGCCCAGACAGAGTCACCTCATTAGAACAAAAGATACTGCTATCACCCAAGAAATTTGAAAGGACTTAGGAGCTCTGTGTCAGACACTCCTATCATTGGGGAAATTACAAGCATTTTAGGAGTTCTGTGTCAGGAACCAGGCTAAAATACTAAATATTAGCAGAACCAGAGGCAGGGACCAATATAAACATATTTGTTATTATTTCACAGCACCAATAGGTAATGAATATTGGACAGAAACTTTTAAAGAAAGAACTTACGAAAGAATAGAATAAAATATAGAATGTTTACAACACAAGTAAAAAGCCATAAAGAAAAAGATTGACAATTTTAATTTCAATCAAAAATACAACTTTTGCATGGGAAAAGATATTAAGAACAAAGCTAAAAGACAAGTAAGAGTCTAGAAAAATGTTTGTAACCTACAAAAGGATCAATATACAGTCGAGATAAACAACTATAAATCAGTAAGACAAAAAGAGAATTTTTAAAAGGAGCAAAGAATGAGGACCACATATCAAAAAAGAAATAATCCAAAGGAGCAACAAAGACATAAGAAGAATCTGAACCCCGCTGGTGATTAATAAAATGCAAAATAAAATAAGGCAAAAGAATACTACAGATTGTGGAATCATACAGATTGTGGAAAATATGCAATTTGATAACATAATAACAAGTATTGGCAAGATTCAGGGCACTGGATGTTCTGACATATGACATTCTATACACCACGTGTTCTTCTAAACTCTTTGTATAGATTAACTCATGTTATACTCTACCTGATGAGGTAGGTATCATCATCATTATCCCCATTTTAAAGATGAGAAAACTAAGGTGTGTAATGGCTAAATGAAGTGCGCAGTCACATAACTAGCAACTGGCTCCAGAGTCAACGCTGTTTACCATAATGCTACATTGACCATAAATTGGAACAGCCATTTGTACCGCAACTGGAAGTATACATTAAAATGTGAAATAACCACACCCAGTAATTGGTTTCTCTGTAGCCACTTTGAAGAAATATAGATACAATTTCACAAAAAGCCATTAACAAGGACGTTCATGGTTATATGGTTTACAATAACAAAAATATCTAAATATTCAGGGGCTGGCTCAGTGGCGTAGTGGTTAAGTTAGCCTGCTCTGCTTTGGCGGCCCAGGGTTTGCAGGTTTGGATCCCAGGCGTGGACCTATCCACTGCTCATCAAGCCATGCTGTGGTGGTGTCCCACATATAAAGCAGAGGAAGATGGGCATGGATGTTAGCCCAGGGCCAATCTTCCTCAGCAAAAAGAGGAGGATTGATAACAGATAGTTACCAATTAGTACCAGATTACCAATTAGTGAACAGATTAGTTCAGGGCTAATCTTCCTCACAAAAAAAACCACAAAAACTAAATATTCATCAATAGGTGAATTATTAAATTATCACACATACATCATTTGGAGTTCATTGCATCAGGTGAAAAAGAAGAAAGCTGACCTGTCAGCACTAATATGTAAAGAACATCAATACACTGAAAACAGTCTGGAGGATGTACATGAAAATGACCACTGTGGTTCATTCTGGAGAGGTGGTTCATATATGAGTGTAATAGTCAAGGAGCTGTTATCAACGAAGCCTGCATTATTTCACATTGAATCTATTTCTCAAACTCAGGGTGAGCCTCCACCTCTGTTCCCAAAAACAACATATGTTTATGTTACTTTATCATTCCAAAGATTAAAGATTTTGTTTTCTCAAACTCCAATGGTCTTTTTTTTGAGTATGACTATGAACTCATGGAATTTTATATAGCTATATTGGTAATGTTCTTCAGTCAACTGCAGTCATCTTGCTTTTATTTATTTATTTTGTGTGTGTCTGTGAGGAAGATTAGCCCTGACCTAACATCCAATGCCAATCCTCCTTTTTTTTTTTTTTTTTTTTTTGCTGAGGAAGACTGGCCCCGGGCTAACATGCATGCCCATCTTCCCCTACTTTATATGGGACACTGCCACAGCATGGCTTGACAAGTGGTGCATCGGTGCGCACCCAGGATCCAAACCCACAAACCCCAGGCCGCCAAAGCAGAGCACACGCACTTAACCACTATGCCACCGGGCTGGCCTGCAGTCATCTTGCTTTTAGATGCTCAATTTGGTACCAGGGCAGTGGTACTTCAGCTAGTGGGGAGCCCCTTACTGTTATCTATGTTGTTTGGAGTATCCTTCCATTCCTATAAAATGTCATAATAGATGTACACATTCAGGTATGTAGATATGTACATATATATACACATGCACTTGTAAATACACCCCCACGTACAAGGAAAGAAGTATGCACTACCAGGTGTTTGTTAACGCTACACTAGGGGATTAAGAGGCACTCTTTTACCATGAGTCATCTGTGTACTTAAAAAAAAATGGTAAAAAAAGGAAAAAGTAAATAAGAATTATATTTAAACATAGAGAAAGACTCCACTCTCACTCCACTCTGAGATGGAGTGAAAGTTATAAAGCAAACTCTATGAATGGTGACAACCCAAGCTCTTACTTGAGCAAATTACTTTCAACTCACTATTGCCAAATTTGCACTCAAACTCCACTTCAACTACTTGTTCAGGGAGGACCATTTGAGAGTCATGCAACCTTTTCATTTTCCTAGGCCACTTAGGTTTTATTCCTGAACAAAACCAGACTGCCATAAAGCTGGGTCCCTGGGACACCAGGCTATGGTCCTCTGAAGAACTGTATCCACTGAGCTCTGCCTGATATATACCCAGAGGAGATTCTGAGGCCCTCTGTAAGACACAGCTGTAGGAAATCTGCTTTGCCACTCATCAGAAGGCTGTGGTTAAGGATACCGTCCACTGATTCCCTCTAGGAAAATCCATCAAAGAAATTTCCTGAGACCTAAGTGACATAAACTATTGAAGCCCCCAAGGAACTGCCTTCCCCCCACAGTCAGTGCATATCATGTAGCTTTCCGTGTTTCTCTGGTTGTGATGTCTGTTAGAGACATTAAACAGACAATGACAGCTAATGTAACCCATAGGAACCACCACAGTCACACATTATGTTCCAATACTAATCATTTAGTCTGACCCCTATGAACAATATATTCTTGATCCCACTTTGCCTCGATTTTGAATTTACAGTCTAAGTTAATTTCTCCCCAGAACCCAACTATCCCAATTTATACTTCTTTTAGTTGAAGTGATTTTTTTCAGGTCACCACAAATTCGTCAGAAAACAAAGGAAAGATATAACAAAACAAATCACCTGGGCCTCGATCATTTTCTTCTGTGCTCTGGAAATAGTAAGTGACATGGATTCTAAGTCTTTTGTCTCTCCTGCATCTGCCATGAGGTTCTTAAGGTCAGAAATCTTGGTGTCCAGTTAAAGCTGTCCCCAGAAATGAAGATATCCAAGTCCAAGAACCTCCTTTCTTCCCTCATTCCTTCACCTGATGGCTCTTGCTCCTGGGGAGCCAGCACCTGTGGGCTGAAGAGCAAAACGACTTTGAGTGTACATTCCCTCTGGGCCCAGATGTTGTCACTGCTACTGTGCACTTACCTTAAATAAAGGACTCCAATATTTCCAACTGTTCCTTTCTTTGGTGCCCCAGAGGCTTTTGCATTCTTGGGCAATACAACAAGGTTCTCAACATGTGAAAGGCATGCCTTTGTGAAGCAGAAGCGGCAGACTATAAAGGAGAGGTGGGAAAGTAGAAGCGGCAGAGCATTTGCCTCTAGAGGCAGGTGAATTACCAGGCAGATCAATGTCAGGAAAGAGGACATATGGAAGGTCCCAAGGATCTGGACATTGTGTCTTTAAAAAGCACGTGTGCCCATATCCTGCTTCAGAAGTCTTTATATGCTCTATGGGTACACACACCTCAGCGTGAAGATCAATGCACTAAGCAAATCTAAGGACTGTCTTATTTCATTCTGTGCACTAAAGGGTTAACCTGGCCCAAAAGAGGTTTGGCTTTTGCTCTCAGTTCCTGGCAGGGAACCTCTAAGCTCTTAGAACATCCTGCCTGATAAGAGTGTCTTTGCTTACCTGGGAGGCTTAGGCCATGTAAGATAGTCTATGCTAATAATGTGATTTATGGTAAAGGGCCTTGGACCACGTGGTATCAGCTCAACCTCTGGAGAGGCTGGAGACTAAGGTCAGCCACACAGGCGGTCCATCAGGTCTATGTTCACTGAGCCCCAACAAAAACTCTGGACACCAAAGCTTATGTGAGTTTTCCCTGGTTGGCAATAATGATAAAAGTGTGTATATATGAGGAAGATATAATTATAAATCTATACACATTTAATGACAGAACTGCAAAACACGTGAAGCAAAAAATAACAAAACTGAAGAGAGGAAGAGACAATTCAACAATAACAGCTGAAAGCTTCAATACCCCACTCTCAATAACTAAAACACACACACACACACACACACACACACAGAAAATCAGCCAGGATAAAGAAGAATTGAACAACACAGTCAATCAACTTAACTGACATTTATTTAACACTACACTCAACAGCAACAAAATATACATTCTTTTCAAAGGTACATGGAACATTCTCCAGGAAAGATCACATGTTAGGATATAAAATAAACGTCAATCAATTAAAAATATATTTTCAACCACAACAAAATTGAATTAGGTATCAACTTCAGAATGAAAGTTGCAGGATACAAAATCAACATACAAAAATCAGTTGCATTTCTATACACTAACAACGAAGTAGCAGAAAGAGAAATTAAGAATACCATCCCATTTACAATTGCAACAAAAAGAATAAAATACCTAGGAATAAACTTAACCA